GCTGACTCCTCACCCCTCGCTCACCCTTGCCCCAGGGCTGCAACTTTTGTCCTACACAAAAGTGAGCCTCTCCATTCTCAGAGCGCTCCATTGTGCACAGGGTGCAGGATGGCAGATGCTTCCAAATGTGTAAATTGCCTGTATTTCACACAGCACTGGCACACACACCAATACAGCTCGCATACTGCTTGGAAGTCTTCTTGGCTTCCTTGGGTTTTTTACCGTGTGCCATGAATTGCAATTCAGTGTTTTATATGCAGGTAGGTCACTTCTGCTTGTGTCATCAAAGCTGCACTATGCACACCGGGGTCAGGAGCAGCTCGGCTGTCAGTCTCCTGTTAACCTCAGCTTCTTAAAGGCAGACCCAATAACCTGTGCTTGCAAAGGGAAAGACACTGACATCAGGAGAGTCAGAGAGAGGCTGTGTTCTCGCCCTCAGACTGAATAGGATTTTCTGTGCTGACTTGTGAACATTAAGGAAGCCAGAACAAAGATGACAAATGCCTTTGTAAAAGGAATTGTTAGAAGGCACAGCAGTCTCAGTGATCATTAAAGCTTGTCTTAACACGTGAGCAGTCATCTGAGAGCAGTAAGCTGCTGTTCTGCCTGCCTGCAGATTGGCTGGAAGGTTTTAGTTTAGTTTAGTTTATTCTTTAGAGAGCCTGTATCTTGAGTAGATCTTCCTACTGCTGTTGTCTACTTAAACATTGGAAAAAACAATTTTGAACAGAAACATCATTCATAGTCTCTGCAAATATACAGAACCAGTAAAAACAAGAGGCTTGGAGATGTGAAAGAAGTTGGGTCTTGATGGAGTTTGCCAGCTGGGAGCCTGCCATTTACAGTTGCTTTAGAAGCACTTTCCTAGTTGCTAACTAAACTGCTTTTCTTAAAGATTGAAAAAGGAAATATAATCTGAGCTAATATATACTAGTTGTTCAGATGATGTAGAAATGGTGACGAAAATGACTTCAAATGTGCTGGCTAAGAGATAAGATTGTGAACTTCACAAACAGTACATAGAGAACGGTATTGAAACTTAGCAGAGTTCTCATCCTTGTGTTTATAAACCACCTGGATTAAGAGTCTCTGTCACCCACGGCAGGTAGGATTTCATTCCCAGCCTGCATTTATTGTCAGATCTATCTATATTTACTGTCCTTCACAATTTCTGTAGTTAGTTCCAGGCTGATATTTTTGTTAGGGCATCTATTCTCTCAGTGAACAAATAAGCTTTCTATTTATTGAAATTCATCTTGGTATGGTGAAGATTAAAGCATGGAATTGATTAGAGAGGAGAGCTTTGAATGCATAAAGTGCTATCTGTCTTTCATTTACATTTCAGACCTTACTTCACCCTGTATTTTATAACATTCACTCTGCAAACCCTATCTCCATTAAATGCTTGGGTACTAGGTTTAGATGAAAATGTGCAATCATTTTCTGTGTGAACCTGGAGGATATCTTAAATCTTAGTGTATTAAATTGGCACATTTATAGAGGTCTTGGTGTCCCACATTCTGCAATGGGGCATGCACCTGCTCTAGCAGAGATTAACATCTGCTTGTTGTCGTGTCTTTTTAATGAAGATTTGAAGTTCTTGCTGATCCCCATGTATAAATTCCCCAATTAGAACCTGTGGTCTGATTACAGCACTCAAGGAGGAAAAGGGAAACCCAGATTTCTACCTTCTTGATACATAAAAGGATGTAAACCTACAAGTTCCACCTTCTAGAAGGACTCACCACGAAAATGCAGGCCATTCCCTAGATCTTCCCATTCCTGCGAGAATGCTGTAATCCCAGCCATGAAGGGATTTCTGGTTCCCTATGACTAGGAAACAGTTCTTCATAGCCTTCAGCATATAGGACAGCATAGTAAGCAAAGCTGGGACACACACACACTCATTGGAAGCAACCTCAAACCTATGACAAAGTCATTAAATTAATTTATTTAAAATATTCTTTATCAAGAACATCTCGATTCTGAAGGGGAAAAACTGTCTGAAGAAGTTTAACTACCTCTAATAACATCATATCTTAGACAGTGTTGTTCTATCTAACTAATGAATGTTTGCACAGTGCTTTGAGATATTTGCCTAACAAGGAAGACTAATATATTGTTATGTGTATATGTGGGAAGTAATGATTTAGGAAATCTAGGAGTACAAAGCCAGGTTACTCTTATCATTCCATCCAAGCCAGGTTTAACTACTTTCTTTTTTTGGCTGCTGCCTTAATTAGATAAGCTGCTGAATTTAATTAACTCATCAAACCTAATATGAAAAGATCTCTCAAGTCAGTAAGAGCTTGTCTTATGCTTATTATTTCTGTTTGTTACATCAAGTCTTTAATATCACCATTTTGTTAGGATATTAATGGTAGCCTTAATTGTTTTCTAATTTGATGCATTTACTCAGATGGTGGCATTTTCCGTGTTTCTTAAGTGTCAGCATGTGAAAAGCAATCACAATTTAATTTAAGGCACTGAAATTGCTCTTCTACCCCTCTGCCAAGTCAGCTACATACTATCTCTTTTCCCATAAGTGTAATTTGGGTTTGCAAGGTGAAATGATTTCATAGGAAATCATGTTGAGTTTCTGAAGCCCAATTTCCTGGAGAAGTGTTGTGACAAAAATGATCCTCTGGATGCTCTTTTGGGACTCTTTAACCAAATTATTAGGTAATAAGTTTGAAGCTGAAATTTCTGTTACAACTAGATAATCATTTGAACACATCTGTGTCTGATGCTTCAACTTGTTGTACCAGTCTGAAGTTCCTTGAAGGTTACTAAAGAATTACTAGCAAAGAATCTAAGGTGTAAAATTAGCAGGACCTTTGTCCATGTTTTCACATTTCTAGAAGATAATGCCACATAGTGGGAGAGATCAAGAGACTGCTTAATGTCAGAATTTCCCTATAAGTGATTTACTTGTTGTTCTGTAAAGCATGTTCTATTGTAATGTAAACTGTGCTGCTAATAAAAACATTGCTAATTGAGTCTGAAGGAGTTCCTGTGTGTGAAAAGCTAGCTACTTCCTGGGTGAATTAAGCGCTTTCTTATTATCCCATCTAGGGGTTCTTTTGCAGAAATAACCTCACTCACAATTCCTCTCTTGCTTTTCGTGTTTGTTTATTTGAGACATGCTTTCAAGTGCACAATTAAATAGCTCAGTTTTTTTCTCTGTTTTCCCTTAGAATGACTATAGGAAGCTATCTATGCAATGCAAGGACTTCGTTGTGGGGGTGCTGGACCTGTGCAGAGACACTGAAGAAGTAGAGGCCATTCTGAATGGAGACGTGAACATACATTTGTACCCTGAGCATCATCGGCCAAGTCTAAGCAGGATTAAACTTGCTATTAAATACGAGGTCAAAAAGGTAAACTACTTTTTTGGGTTCTTGATGAATACATCTTCACATCTAAATTATGCTGCTTTGATGTCACCTGAAAAATAATAAATGAAAAATGAATTTCAGTGGGACCAGGACAATTTGTAGAATTTTAGTGGTTTTTGGTTTGATTTGCATTTTCTCACATACTTTAATATGGAGAAGGTTATTTGCAAAAGATACATTACAGCAGGTATGGCAGTTGTTTTAAAGCGATAAGCATGAATGTATAGATGGCCCAAGGGACTGCCCACAGAGCACTGTGCATCTTTGTGCTGGTCATGATCATGAACTTTGGAAGACTTCAGCAGGGACCAAAAGTTGCTACCATACCAAACTGAGGGTCGGTCTTCCTTCACTGTGATTTATATGAAGGGATGAAACTAGCATTTTAAAATAAGAAGTTTTGTGGTTTTAATTCAGAATTAGATCAAAACCTCAAAAATCAATTTCTGCTTAACTTGGAATTCTTCCATTGAAAGCATGTGAAAGTAGATAAACATTGATTTAAAAAATGATAGATTCCCAGCTTCCACTCTCCTAAAGCTTAAGAGCCATATTCTGAGAGTTCGGTTTTCCCCAAATCTCCAAAGAGGAAGGAAGATGTATATTTTGAGGAAAAACATGAAGATTGAATGACTTTCAGAAGTGTTTTAAACAGGCATTCAGCTTTACAGAAGTATATTGTATGAACTGAAAATTTGATTCTGGCAAATCCTAGGCCTGGGTGGTCCCAATTAATTGCTCCTACAATATGCATTGATGGAAACTGGGCTCCTGCTATGGGACTTGAAGAGCATTCCAAATTTTCAAGCTAACATCTGCTCTCTCTTTCCTGTCCCAAACCCACCACCTGCTTCAGTTTGCCTCTTGACTGTGCTGCTGTGCTGGCTAAAGAAGGTCTTTTCTTCTTATGAAAGCCATTAATTAAAGAGAATCTTAAAACTCTTACTTGAAATGAATTGCTTTCATGCAGGGACACGTAGGATGGAACCAAATATTTCCTCCTGGGATGTTGTGTCTCTGCATCATTCTATTACCCAAACTGGGTGTTAACAGCTCAGTTCACTCTTAGATGTCTTTCAACAAACTGGGTGAAGTTTAGTTATTTAAGATGCTTTGGTAACAGGAGGTCAAAGTTGCTCTGGTGCTTTCAGAAAATGAGCTGAGCTGATAGCACCTGAAAGGAATCAAGTCCCCAGTATCAGGAGCAGTACCCAGTGACCTATGGCCTAAGAATTGTCATCATTAAGTTGGTCAGAACCTCAAGCCTTTTCAATGTATGAAGTCTCCTGCACTGTTTTGTTTGTTTATTCTTCTGTGTATTTGTGTCATACTTTAGATGCCAACACCATAAGCAAGAGCAAAGTTGCTGTTAGTTATTGTGCTGCTTTGGGCATCTTCACCCTAGCTCAGTTTGTTTCAGAGGAACTTTTCCTCCATTTCTAACACTGTATATATGCATTAGCACTGACCTAAAGCATCGGTGGTAGGTCATATACAGTTGATCTTATTATATATATATATATCTTCCTACGCCCAGGAAAGCTGAGCATCCTTTCTGGATCACAGCAACTTGTTGCTCACCTATGATAACTACTAAACTAATTACAGAACATAAGCATTTGTCAATACCATGCTGACTTTCAGGTTAGCATTTTTCAGTCTATTCTTTTCAGCTGGCATTATACATCTATATATAAGATGAACATTTAACTGCTAACTCGAATGTAAGATTGTTCCAGTTGTGGGAGGCAGAGACACAGTCTGATAAATGGCTTTGGTTATTGGCTGTGACATGATAATAGACTGATCACACTTGCTGAACAAAGAGGTTGAGTTACGGTAATATAGTAATGGTTTCCTTAAGAGGCAGTACGTTTCAGGTACAAGTTTCTTATCCACCTGAGAGATATTTAGGCTTATGTATACAAACAAACTTTGAAATCTGTTTTCATTTTAAGAAATGAAATAGGTATAATGTAGATAGTTATAGTTATAATATAGATCACTATAATATAAACATATAATAACAACAGATATCAACCCTACAGTAGAGTGGTGAGATGGAGGGTGAATTACTATACATATTTAATAAACCAATTCTTGGACAGATTCAGTAAATTTCAAGTTGCTTTTTCAAAGCTAATGCAATGACTCAGAGGTGTAAGTGAGATCACACATGGCCCTCCAAGTGTGAAAGGCAGGAGCACCAAGTGACTTCCCACCCCCAGCACCCAACCCCTAAGCCCCATCACTTGGCTTGACAGTGCTGCCTGCCCAGGCCAAGCCCTGGGGCTGAGATGTGGGTAGCTATAACTCACCCAGGAACAGTTCCAGGGATACAGAGACCTTTCCAAGTGTTTAACCGCACTCTGGGGCTCAAATGACACAGAAATGGTTGTTTGCCACTTTTATTGTCCTGGAAGTTTAGTTGGCAGAATAGGACTAATGAAGGGACTGTGGTTGTGCCTGCCATCCCTGCTCCCCGCCTCCACCCTTAGCATCAGCATTCAGATGGTCACTTTTGCATTTTCCAGCTCAGCAAGTTCCCAATGAGCCAGAGAAATAAAGATGTTTACTTAAATTAGTATAGAGCTCCTGATGTATTTTGTATTGGTTCTTTCCCATGAACAGCAAGAAGAATCTTAGACAAGGCAATTTGAGGGATTTCAGAATGGTCTGAGAAAATAAGAAGTGTTAATTGTTATGGGTTCTTTATTTTTCCATTAACTTAAGACTACATATTTGCATTCACATCTGAAGTTGTAATAAATACTTGAAGTTTAAAAAAGTCTATTTCTGCCATCAGCTTCTTAATTCACATTTTCATATTGGCACTCTAAGTGCCTACAGTAGGTTGTCTTTGATGAAAATTTTCAGAGAACAATTTATATTGAAAATTGTTATTTAATATCCATGATTTTATTTTTACAGCTGCTGCTGCAGTCTGCATTTTATCACACTTATTTCCAAAGTCTGGGAAAGATGCATTTTATGGATTTAAATCAGCTCTGGCATTTTTGCCTTTTTCTTGCTTCCGCCCATCGGAACATTTTGGGGATGCAGTTGATGCTGTGTATACAATTTAAACTTTAAGTCCTAATTTTGGTTCCAACACAGTATCTCCTAGACCTTGAATTTAGCAATTGTGTTCCCCTGTAAGTTATACTAGGTTGGAGGTGGAGGCTGCAAACCCCTTGCATGTTCAGTGCTCATCATGCCCGTACTGCAGGGATCAGCATCAACCCTGTGGTAGCTTTTAGCCCCAAACGCTGCTGCTTGTGCCTCAGACTTTTTGAAGGGCAAATCCTTGTTTGAAAATCCCAAGTCCTGGGACATCCTGCCCTTGAGCTGGATGTTCACAGAACTGTTCATTTCCTACTGGTGCAGAAAAACCTTGTACGCACATCAGGGGTAAAAAGAGGACTGAAGCCTTCTTACCTCCTCTACTCAGCAAACCTGTAACTGGTACCTACACCAGGTTATTGTCCACACTCTAAATGATCCTTTGTGCTTCCCATTGGAGTTCCCTGTTACCTCGCTCTTTTGCCACTCTAAAAAAGGCAGTTCTCTGTTGAAAGGACACGGATTTATTGATCATGATCTTTTCTTCCTAATTTCCAACATTTGAGATGAATCTTGGAAAGTCACTCAAGAAATCATCAAGAGTTCCAGCCTTCATTTGTCTGTCACTTCGCTTCCTTTTTTTCCTGCAAGCCATGCTACCAGCACATATGAGATGCTGGCAAGAAATCAAATTTAAGGCTCAAACATAATTGAAGGGCTTTATCTAGAAGGTTATTGAAGAATTAAGAAACTCTGTTTGTACATATTCCGTACCCAGGAGAAAGCTACAATTACAGTACTTGACAAAGTGGTCTTTAAAAATGCTGTGTTACTCTAATTCTCTACCCTTTCTGAAAGAGCTTAATCACTGTACCCGAGGATTCTAGGAAAACCGCACTCAAATGTCCTCTGCTCAAGATTTCCAGAGCAATTTCTTCCTTCAAATTAGATGTCTTAATGATTCAAAATTCCTTGACAATTATTACAATGGGAACAGTTTGTCAAGAGCAAAAGAAATCATTTGCAAACATTTAAGCATTTACTGAGCCCTGGATTCTTTCCAAGAAATGGACTTTTAGCCCATGTCACAGGATTGTTGCATATTAATCTTTGTCTCCTCAGATATGTTCTTTCTCCTCCAGCTGTGCAGAGCTTTGGGCAAAAGGAAGAAAAAGGCTGGGTGCAGGAAGAGCCACAGAGCACCCTGCTGATGCTGTGGCAAGCCTCTTCAGGTGTTTTCTTTGGATATTATAGGAGAGGGCTGGGGAACCATCACAGCGTGAGAGCAAACGTTGTGGAGGAGTCCAACAGCTATAATGGAAATGGCAAAATTAAAAGCAGCATTAAGGTGAAACAGGAATTATTTAGGTTGGGCATTACTGATGGATTATGGCCAAAAGTAGCTTGAGTTGATAAATTGGAGTTCTGGTCCCAAGGAAAGAAAAGAAAACTGATCTTGATCTTCTTGAGTCACAGATACTCTCATCTGTTCTCCATGCAGGCTTACAACACCTGAGTGAGAGCTTATTTCATGTTCTTGGGCCAAAATTGCAGAGTAATGTTTTTTTCTTTTCTTGAAACAATTAAACAATCTTGTTTTCAGTCAAATACTGGAAATATAAGGGTAATACAGGCTTTTCCTTTATGTAAGCTCATTTCTAATTAAGCCAGCATGTGATTTGTACCTGTGAGAGGCATAGGTACAGAGGCTGGGACAACTCTGTCTTTGAAAAAATACACCATTTTACTGGTGTATATATAAGCTTTACAGAGCCCTTCATATTTTCTGTGCTCATTTTTGTCTGTACTGCTATGCTCTTTTCTTATCATCCTTTAACGTGGCAGGGGGTTTCTATGTCAACAGGTCTAAAGCTGTTACTTCTCTGTAGGAGGTGACATTCATTCTCCTTCTTTCCCAA